GATGGGTGGATGGATGGGTGGGTGGATGGGTGGGTGGATGGATGGGTGGATGGGTGGGTGGGTGGATGGATGGGTGGATGGGTGGATGGATGGGTGGATGGATGGGTGGATGGATGGATGGGTGGATGGATGGGTGGATGGGTGGGTGGATGGATGGGTGGATGGATGGATGGATGGATGGGTGGGTGGATGGATGGGTGGATGGATGGGTGGATGGGTGGGTGGGTGGATGGATGGGTGGATGGGTGGATGGATGGGTGGATGGATGGATGGATGGATGGGTGGATGGATGGATGGGTGGATGGGTGGATGGACGGACATATGGACGGACAGACAGACCCATTAGCATAGCAGGGCTGAAATCGTCCAACCACATTTCCAAATAATCTTAGTCACAGATGTGGTTGCTACAGGGCTGGACTCATATTTATTAGGACTTCTGGCTCTGATTCTTAGCAGCTGGGAGCCCTCAGGCAAATTATTTAACTAAACCTGAGGTCCCTAATCTGACTGGCACATGGACACAATAGTACTTACCTGGTAAAGCTGGCGTGAGAGTTAAATGATAAAGAATGTGAAAAACCTAGCAGAGTGCTTAGTCCTGGGGACCCACTCAGTCCCTCAATAACTGCCTGAATCCTTCTATCCAGGCCTGCAGCGGCGCTATGCATGTGCCAACTTTGGGGAACAGGGAGTGACTGTGGGCTGCTGGGACACCTACCGGCATGACATTGACTGCCAATGGGTGGACATCACAGATGTGGACCCTGGGAATTATATCTTCCAGGTAAGGGGGTTAGGGCAGGGGTAGAGAACTCCTCACAGGACCTTCATTTCCTCCAGCTGTTCCAAAAGCTTCCCTGAGGTCAAATGAAGAGCTTCCTATATAGGGTCTCCAACAAGTCTGTCACTTGAAGGAGCTGTGTTCTAGAAAAAAGAACACTGAATCAGAATCCAGAAACCCTGGGTCTGAGTCCTGAATCAATGAATAATAGGCAAGTCACAGCTATGAGTTGTGACTTCTCAGTTCATATCTGTAAAATGGGGACACTAAGGCCTTCCTCCATGGTAACTGTAAGCATTAATGAAGCAAAGATTATAAACATTCTTTGCAAAATACTACATGTAAAGGATGATTAAGTTAAATGAGTCTACTCACTCAGAAACCGTATCGCCAGCTTCATTTGTTCCCTGCTCTCCCTCCAGGTGGTGGTGAACCCCAAATATGAGGTGGCAGAGTCAGATTTCACCAATAACATGATGCAGTGTCGCTGCAAGTATGACGGGCACCGGGTCTGGCTGCACAACTGCCACACAGGTAACTCTGAGCCACTGTGGGACCAGCCCTGTACGAGCTCGCAGAGCTGGAAGACTGGAAACATGTCCCAAATGTGACATGTGTGTGTGTATGTGTGTTTAAGAGGCTAGGAGTGAAGCAGAGATGAACTTCCTCTGACATCTTCACAGGTAGATTTCTAGAAAAACTAGTCAGACATCAGCCTCCTCCAATAACTATGTCTGCATCCTTCCTGGTTCGCATGTGTCCTAGAATCTTGCCTGTCACCTTAAACCATACAAGGATTTCTCTTTTTCCAGTCTGTTATTTTTCCCTCCTTTTCATATGGTCTTTCTCAGTTGCCTCCATCCTAAGCTGACTGCCTCGCAGGCACACACAGAAGTCCCCCATGAGCTGTGTTGCTGTCTGCAGCTATGACCACTGCTTGTAAGAAGGGGCCTGAGGAGAACAGCTCACAGGACATTTACAGGGTTGGTAGCATTAGACAAAGGGAGCACCACGGACTCAGTACGGGGCAAAGCAAGGAGATGGCTATTCTCCTTGTCTGTAGAGAGGTACCAATCCCCTTACCTCCCAATTTTAAAATGTATTTGCAGTGCACTCATAGCCACATTTGCATAAGGGAGGTAGGATGGGGCAGAGTTGTTTAGTCAGTCAGCAAACACTTATTAAAATCTATTACTGTGTGGGCACCAGGCTGTAAATATGAAAAAGATACAGGAGCTCGGTGTTAAATGGGGTGTGCAGACATGCAAACAGATAACCCCAATACCAATAGTACCAAAAATCGGGCATTGACTAAATGCTGGGTCAGCACAGAGAGAAAGCAGCACGTGAAGGCTGGAACAGGTTGCACAGGAAAAGTGACATTTCAGCTGGGTTTCAGAGGGACAGAAGTCGTAGGAGGAAAGAGTTGCAGAAAGAGCACCTTCAGGAGGCTTCATTGGGTTCCCCAGAAGACTGCGTTTTTCTCTTTCGCAGCATGGGGCTGTGTATTTCAAACTCATTTAAAGTTCTTTGCACGGAGGGTTATCATCACTGTTCTAAAAAAAAGTGGAATTTATCCTGTGGCCTTCTGGGAACCATTGAAAAATTTCAATCGAGAGAGCAAAAGATCGGATTGATGTCTTCAAAAAGGTAACTCTGGCAACAGATGGAAAACAGAAGAGGAAGAAGAAACAGTCTCAGGCTTCTAATTTGTGTGACAGGGTAGGTTTTGCTGCTATTACACGAGACAGGAACCTGGGAGAATTAGGAATTTGGAATCCAGGGCTGGGCATATGGAGACAGCAAGTCCTCCAAATGTTGGAATCAAGCTCCAAGGGAACAAACCATGGTAGTGATAAGGGAAAGGAAAGCGTCACAGTCCTGCAGGTCCTTTCACCAACTGTTACCAAAAAAAAACCCCATTGTTGTTGAGTTGATTGCGACTCAACAACCCTGGTGGTGGTTAAAGTGCTTGGCTGCTAACCAAAAGGTGGACGGTTTGAACCCACCAGCTGCTCCATGGGAGAAAGATGTGGCAGTCTGCTTCCCTGAAGATTACAGCCTTTGAAACCCTACAAGACAGTTCTGCTCAGTCCTATAGGAATGCTCTAAGGTCACCAATGATTAGAGATCACTTTATATGTCAGGATCCTTGCAGAAACAGAAGGCACATTCTAGTAAATTTATTCAATAAAAGGACTATTTGTAGAGGTGTGTAAAGGATAAAAGAAACAAGGACGTTGTGACATTCAGGGTTAACTAGAAATGCAGGGCCAACGCATGGGAAGAGATACAGCAACCTCCTCTCCCTCCACCTTCCAACCTCTTGCTTTCCATTGACTAACTCAACCAGAAACCAGAGGACCAGGGAACCAGGGTGATAGAATCTTTACAGTCAGTCTCCCAGGACAAAAAGGACAAAGAAAGGCAGAAAATGCCTCTGGGTGGGGACCAAGGATAAGCAGCACAGCTGAATAGCCTATTCTTCCTGATGTCCCTGAAACTACATACTTGTCCTGGGTCTGTTTGTATGGAATGGGTTGGTGCCCATGCCCATGACTGATGGAGAGGATGAGCCTGGGTAGCATGTATCTGGGTGTCTTGTGACGTTGTCAGAGGAGGGATGAGACTGACAGGGCTGCTTCTGAGCCTGTTTTCCTTTGGCCCACAGGGGATTCATATCAAGCCAACGCAGAGCTGTCCCTGGAGCAGGAGCAGCGTCTCAGGAGCAACCTCATCTGAAGCCGTCACTGCACTCCCAGCTGCTGTCCACACACCGATACCTCAGCTTACTGGAGCCACGCCCTTCAGAGCCCAAGCTCACAGGGGCCAGTGCCAAGAACCTGCTCAGGAAGCCTTCTGAAGGCGAGATCATCAAACAAGGATGGTACTGCTCCCTCAGGATGGTGCTGGGCCTGTCCCCTAACAGGCCTTTGGACTGTGGCTTCCAGACTTTGTTCACTGAGCTCCTCTTCCATAAAGAGACCCAATCTTTCTTGGATTTTGCCCCAAAGTTCCCCGCTTCTGGAGTTCTCAGTTCTTTAGGGATGGACTGTAGCACAGGCTCCCCCATCTAAGTGGTGCTGTGCCAATGTCTCGGAGTAGAAAACAAAGGACCAAAATAAAACAGGAGATGGGGGCCGGCTCTCTGCTAGCAGCTCAGAGCAACCCAGCTCGTGCACTGTGGTGGAGAAGCTAGGGAATTCAGTCTCTTACTTATCTGTCCTCATTTAGAACTCATCCCTCATACTCTTAAGAGTCTGGTCCTTTGGATTTTTTCTGTTTTCCCCCTACCGCACATATAGGTCTTTCTAATATCCCTGGAAGCTAAGGCCTCAGGCATCCCCTTAACTCCTGATGGGCCCACACCATTGGTTACTGAGTGCTTGAGGGACAGGTTTCACCGAGGAGGCCACGTAGGGCCTTCCTGTAGAGAAGGCCAAGAAGAAAGACTGCTAGGGTGATATGGACTCTAACCCCTGCCAGGCCTCTGCCAAAGAAAAAAAGTATGTGATATAAACTTGGCAGGCAGTCCAGTCTCTCTCAGGATCACCAGGCATCTCAGGATTGGCCTAAACTTCAGGTCTCAATTAGGTTTCTGGAGTGAACTTTGCTATAAATAAATTTTTGCAATGGTAAGAATATCAGTCAGACAAGCCCCTAATCTCTGTAGGAAAGACTGGTCCTGTCAAATGGTAACAGGAGACTATGGAGAAGTCAGAGGGCTATCATTTAAAGAAGGACTGAACCCAGGAAAGGCCACCATGCCTGCTTGATGTGGCTGTGATGTGCTCTTGCTCAGGGAGTATAAAATCCATGGTCATCTTTCTCCCCTGAGCGACACACTTCAGAGCTGATCCTTATAGGTCTGATGGTCGAATGCCAATAAATGTTGCCCACCATGGGCTGCTACAGAGACAAGATCAACTGTGCTTATGTATGTTCCCAGCACTCTCACTCAACCCTTTCTCCCTCCTACTGAGTCGGCAACTAGGAGGCACAGGGCATACATACTACCCGTGATGGTGTGATGATACTGGCCTACTACCAATTACCAGGCCCAGGCTCAGTGATGAATCACGGGTTGTAAAGTTTAAGGGATGAAAAGTAAGAGCAAAAAGGTGAAGTCTAAGAGTTGTAACCTTGATAACTGAGGCTCCAAAGCCAAAATGACTGGTAGCAAATGGGGCAGATTTACAGCAGTACCCCCTGCAACCCTAATACACACACACACCATGGGCGCTACTATCCCCTTTAGGGAGTAAAAAGGGACGCTCTAGGATACCCTCTATGAATACAAAGAAGTGCTTTCTTCCTTCCCCTCCTCTCCCTTGTCTTTCTCAACTCCTTCATCTCCTTCATTAGGCAGAGAGCTTTTTATCTGGGCCTAGCAGTTTAGGTAAACAAGGGAAGGACTGATTTCCTGTTGGATCCAGCAAACGTCTCTGGAACAGTAACAACACTGTGCTCACACATGCAGCTAATGGTCTGTGAAAGAATGTGCAGCTAGCAGGGGAGCGCGTGGTGACTGATGACTAGATGCAGGCAGGGAGGTTACCCACTGCCTCTTGCTGGATGCAGTTTCCAAGAGGGCCTGAAAAAGCAGGCCAGGCAGCCAGCCGCTGGCTCTGATGTCAGCCTTGCTGCCCACATCACACGTTTGATGGGTGCAGCCAGCTCTGATTCTTGGAAAAGCCACACAAGGGTTGTGCTGTTACACCTCTGAGCTGAAAAAGGAAGGACCTGGGAAAACCGGTGGCTGGCATGACTTACAACTAGATGAGGAATGTTAAGAGAATACCAATCCACCCAATTCCAGACAAGCAAAAATGTCAGAAGACTTTCACCTCAGCATACATTAGTCTCAGAGAAATTCAAGTGCTTAAGGACCTCACCTTACTATCCAGAAGCCTAATTTATCTGTATTCTACACAGACTTTCACTCAACGGGGAGCATATTAGACCTGATGTGGGACGTACCTTTCTACAATAAATCCCCGGTGATCCTGAGATTCAGACATTTAACATCTAGGAAGCAACATATAGGCAGAGCACATTAGCTGTCTCCCTAAACATCTAACAAAGGAGCCAGTGGCAGCCACAGGGTGCTCTCCCGTTAGCTCATCTTGTGCAGGGATGGTTTTGAAAGGGCAAAGGATGTGATTCCTCTCTGGACAAACTCGGTGTAGTTTGTGCTGGGCCACAGCAGGTCCTCTGACCTCTGACCTCCAACCAGTCTTCTCAAAAATAGGCATCGCTGATGAGAGGGAAAGGGAGGAAGGCCAGGATACATCAATACCAACTCCTGGAAAAATCTAGCTAAAAAGTACATCCTCTATTAATGGTCAAAGAAGTAGCACTTCATAGATTTGTGTCAGCTGGGGTGGGGGGGTGGGGAGGGGGACCCTTCTCCAGGTCTAGTTACAAGGATAATTCTGAACGTCAGAGGTGGCTGGCTGATTGCTGGGCTGAAAAAATGCATAGGCTCCTAGCCACTGGTATACAGCACTAGGATGAGAACAAAAATAACTTCTTAAGATGATCTGAACTACCGGTAATGAACATGGGGCTAGCAATGTCCTTTAAAGCTAAAATGTTGTCAGAAAGGGGAAGCATCCTCCTAAAAGGCAAGTGACAGGAGCAGTCATCTGTTACTGCTCAAGGCCATTGGGGGAACCCTGGTGGCACAATTGTTAAGCATTTGGCTGCTAATTGAAAGGTCTGTGGTTTGAAGCCACCAGCCGCTCCATGGAAGGAAGACGTGGCAGTCTGCCTTCGTAAAGACTAAGCTTTGGAAACCCTATGGGACAGTTCTACTCTGCTCTAGAGGGTCACTATGAGTCGGAATCAACTTGATGGCAATGGGTTTGGCTTTTGTTAAGGTCACTGTTTACCTTGAAGAATCAAAATAGAGCAAAGGTATACCTCAGAGGGTATATGGATCTGTATGAAGCCTGGCTGCAATTCTCTGCACTTCCTTTCAAATACAGCCATCCTGTTCAAACAGACCTGCCTACCTGCAGCTACAAGCCAGACAGGCTCACTGGACTAAACAGTAGTGGGACAGAAGGGCCAAGAGAAGGACTCATTTATTCTCCCAAACTTAGCAGCACTGAACATGAGTGAGGGACACTGGCAGGACGGGCCAAGAATGAGAGAAGCAGTGCAGAGGAGCTGTGAGATCCGAACAGCAGCAGGGAGAGTAGGGTCAGGACTAAGATCCAAGGCCTGTGTCATTTGGGAACAGCGTGTGTGTCATTGGAACAGAGTCTTAACTCCACCATGTTCTAGGCAATGCTAATAATCCATCATTGTCATGGGTGCTAAACCATAAAAAAATGAGGCTGTTGCCCTAGCTGAAAGCACAATGAGGCTCTGTTTCTTGCCACCTCAGCATCTTAACGACTAGCACTCCCATTTCTTCAGGGCAGGGCCGCTTCCCGAAAATACCGAGAATGCAGGTAAGAGATGGTAAAGCCCAAGTTAACGGCTCTCTGACTTGTTCCCGGCCTTTAGGAAATCTCGCTGCCCACAAGGGTTTACTTTATCCTGGCTGCTCTTCAGGTGGTGTGGTGCTGCTTGCCAAGGGCACAGGCTGAGAAGATCATACCAAGAACATGCTGGGTGCCAGACGCTTTCCACGGGATGTCACATTCGACAGAGACGGGACAAGGCAAGAGGCTGGGGTGGAGGTGTGCAAGTCGGGCAGGCAGTGGGGAGAAGGTACTGCACACCCGTGTCCGACAGCCCAGGAGAGTCACTGTTGCAGTACATGCCAGGACCAGAGGGGGTCAGCTCCTCCACTCGGGGTTCAGTAACAGCGACAGGTCCATCTAACCCATGCGCAGCACTGTCACCGTGAAGAGGAGAGCTGCTCTCTGATTTCTTTGTGGGAATTGAAAAACTGAGAAACACCAGAGTGATACATGTCATAAACAGGCTTTAATGTCTCCCTCTCACAACGTGGTACTACAGCTCAAACTGGAACTGACACACAGCTCCCAAGAATGAAGCTGGCATGGCCCCTGGCTGCTATGTAGCTGGAGCAGCTCCAAGCACTCAGCTTGGTATAAAGTCTGGAGTCCAAATACCCACATCTGCTGCACTTCACCAGCTTTGCAGCTCTGGACCTGGCAGTTCAGACTGCGTATGCCAAGTACACTACACTCTGCTCTGTCTCTGTGTGCTGACTACTCCCTCCCCGCAACACTGCCATTCTCAGCTTTGTGAGGTACCAAGGAAGGCCCTGCCTTTGCAGGGCCTTGGTCTCCCATCACTGCAGGCTGGAATCTTCTGTTTGGTATTTCCTTCAAACATCCAGGAAGTGTGACCTGGCTGAAGTGACTACCCCTGCCTAAGGGACTCTTGTAAGTCACACCTTGCAAGTTTCTTCCTGGTTGATGGCTCTCTTCTGTGCCCACCACAGTAGAGTGATTCCAAAGCACTGCATTTAGGAGTGAAGCAGACAGAGGTCTACCTTCTTCCTCTACCCAACCAGGCAGGCCTTGTCTTGATGGCTTTATCTCTTTCTTTCATTAACATGCACATCTCCAGTACACAGAGCTCTGGAAGGATTCTCTTATCTGTGAAGACTATGGACACATCTTCTGAATCCATGGAATTATCCCTTTCATTGATGTTCAAACAGCAGATTGTTCTCTGCCTTCCCAGATGTCTTCCCGTTGCTTGGCTTCCAACCGTCTTCTTTCTGTAAACAAGGGCAGTGTTAAAGTGCTGGTTAGTTCACGTAACCAGTGAGTTTCCCTTAATCCAAATTACAGAGGAGACTTCAATCATGAGACAGGTGGCTTTCCTGGTCTTCTCTAACCTGATTCCAAGAGTTAATACCTTTAACTTTCCAAGTGGAAATAATACCCCTTTAATTAAGTCTTTACATCTATTACTATATAATAAGAGAAAGATATGGTGCTGATAGAAATAAAAAAATATGTGGAATAAGTCAGCATCTAGCAGGACGCAGATTCTCGTCTTGATGAAATTTAATTCTACTTCTCCACTGTATTTACTGCTTCCATATAATTGTCCCTTACTCCCAGTTTACTGACCTTTATGAATATTTCAAGAGGAATCAAGAATATGTTTCAATATTCTTCTACCTCTTACTCAGATGGAAATAAGCCACTATGCTTTAGTCCTATTTCCTTACTACAACCTCACAGGAAAAAATATTTGAGGCAAAAACCATCTCAGAGCACTGAAGCCTATAGCCTTCCAGGAGCCCAAATATTCTGGAACATACAATTCCAGCACAGAAAAATGACCACATATAATGGAGGAGAACTAAAGACTATTTTAAAAAAAATACAAATGCAAGCAATCTGATCTTCAATTTTTAATGCAGAAGCTTGGTTCTCCATTTAACATTTTCATCCAGACCTGGTGACCAAAGTACTGCATTAGGTGCACAAATACCAGCTCTAATTTCGTGGCCGGTCATTTTTCAAGACACCATGAAGATGGTTAGCCTTCGTACTACCTTCCAAGGGCTACTGTGAAAGACTGATAACATCTGCAAAAGATTTTTCAAGTCACAAACCAGAGAGATTACCGAAACCAAGATGAGTTTACAGTTAACATTTGCTATTTTGACATATCTTTCCTAATCAGCAGAATCCCTTACAAAATTCCTATACTATATCTGACTGCACTTTAAGGGTAAAGAATTTGATTAGAAAGCTGACTGGCACTTGGAAATGCAAGAAGGAGAAATTCGCTGCTATCTGGGCTCCATCTTGTGGCACTACTGGAATATAGCAGCAAGGTTACAAGAGGCATAAAATGGGGGTCAGCAAATTTCAAACTGAAAGGCTGGCGAGTTGGGTTGGTATTCCCCAGTAGACAGCACTAAGGATAACTGGCTAGACTCTAGGAGTCCAGGATCACGTAGGAAGGCACTGTGGTCTAGATTCTCCCAGACAGGGTGAGGTAGGAGGAAATCTAAACGCAAAAGCAACCTAGGCGGAAAGTGATCAGAAACTGGCTCGGGATTCCAAGAAAAAGTGAGAAAATCAGAAAAGTGAATTTTTAGAACGCAAAATTTCAGTAAGCTCAGAAACTTAAATTAGCAAGTTAATATAGGAAGTGGTGTAAGAGACAAGGAAATCCAGGAGCAGCAGATAAATGTAATGACTAGCCCCTAGTCTACAATTCAAAACTCCAAATTGTTCCGAGTTCTGAAAACAAAGTTGTTATTTTTCTTTATTTTTGAAGTTAAAACTCATTTGGTGAAAAATCTGACTGGAAAGGGCATGAGGCTTTTCTGTATGTATCTGTTTCTTTATGTATCTCACTCAGTGTGAATAGTTATACACACTACTGCAGAAACATTAACATGAGTGGGTTTGATTTTGACCCTATGGGTGGTGAAACCGCCACTACAGACACTCATCCTTTCTAACATCAGAAAAGTTCAGAATTCTGAAACATTTCTGTCCCTAATTTCTATTAAGAGATTGTAGATGTAATTACAAAACATATTTAGTCAATTTAAGAGGAAATTCTTGTATAAACCATGTGACAAAACTAGTGAGAGTAGAGAGACAACTGAGAAACACAAGGAAGTAGTGGAAATGTGAGGCATAACTCTAGAAACACCAAACGTGAACAGAATAGAAAAGCACAGGTTAGCATGGGATTTAAAAATAATTTCTTCATTTTAAAGAGTATATAGTGGCTTTACGAGGTGAAATGACTACATCATCAGAGAAACACTGAAGCTGGTCCTAAATCCTTCAGCCAGCAGACTGTACTTCACACCATGCTGACATCTTAAAATGAAACCTGAAATACCAACAAAGGAAAAAAATGTACTGACAAAAAGATCAAGAAACATGTAGGCAGAAAGGCAAGCTGATAATAGCTGACAGACTACATGAAAAATTCCTATTAACTCAACCTCCAACAATTAAAAGAAGTAAATAAATAAAGAGAAAACCCAAAGAGCAGCCATAAGGGCAAGGAATGAAGGAAGAACAGAATTAGTATGAAATGATTGCTCTAAAACACTCACACACACTCGCCCTGAAGACTTTCATTCCCCAGTATAATAATAAATTGACAGAAATGACTATAATAAACAAATTGACTGAAATCATGGTGTGGTCAGCTACCACTTGTCACTGACAGAAAGGAAAGTGCTGGAGATTGAAAAAGGTCCACTTTAGTGTCATGTTTCTCTAAAAAAGGGATGATCTTACAAATTACAGACTTTCAAAATTTACTTCTACACCTAAGAAATAATTGGGGGGAAAACACAAAATCCATTTGTAACCACCTACGGAGTAATAATCAACATGCTTTGTTTAGGGGAGTCTGGTCAAACTAACCTAATTGCCTTCTTTTATGCAGTGACAGACCTGGTAGATCAAGGAGGAATAATAAAAGTGACTTTATAATTTTAGCAACGTTTTGGATTTTTAATTTGCCAAGTATTAATATCATTATCAGTATTCTGTGAAAATACAGTCTGGATATAGAAAGTGTGAAGGGGGCATTTATCTCTGGAGAGTGGATGGTCACCAATTTACTGGAGTCAACACAAGAACCACATACTATTTATTTAGCAAGAGGTGGTGACTGGTCAGTCAACCCCAGTCATTATTTCTGATCCAGGCACTTGACTACTAACCAAAAGGCTGGCAGTTCAAACCCACCAACCACTTAGTGGAAGGAAGACTGGGCAATCTACTTCTGTAGTGATACTGCCCTGGAAAGCCAAGGAGGGGTTGTTATGAGTTGGAATTGACTTGACGGCATTGAGTTTGGTTTTTTTCAGTTTTGGTGAGGGATGTAAGTTTATTAAATAGATGACACGAAAAATGGATAAATAACGCATCTCAGAGAAAAATATCATATTAAAACAGAAGAAAATGTGGTGAGAAATAAAAAGAACTTCACACACCAGGCAACAAGATGCCAAACGACCTAGATGATGAGTTGGCAATGCAACACTGCCCTTTAAGGCAGAATGACAGAATAGCACAAAAAGATGTCAGAATAGAGCAGCTATGATGAAATTTTCTTTTATTACAGTTTATGACAATTTAAGTTCTTAGTGATTTAATCAAAATGTTGTTATGTGCTGTCAAGTCAGACCCAACTCATAGCAACCCCTCCTTGGCTTTCCAAGGCAGTATCACTATGGAAGTAGACTGCCCAACCTTCCTTCCGAGGAGTGGCTGGTGGGTTTGAACCGCCAGCCTTCTGGTTAGCAGTCAAGTGCCTTAGGCACTACACTACCAGAGCTCCTTAATCAAAATAGATAACCAAATTATTGTTTACTTACTCTGCCTTTTGGGCCTATGACCCAAAAGATGGCCCTTTAGAAACAGCCAATTAACCACCTATCCCTGCTCCCAGAGGAACATGAAAATAAGTTATGAAATAAAACTATAACAGGCTGTGAAAAGGAGGGGTAGCTTACTCTGGGAAGTAATTAGCTCTCTATAATTTTACATGGGAATCAAGTGTTCTGAACTAGTGAGATAAGGGGACATTTTACTTGTGTTCCTGAACGTCTCAGTTCTCTAGTGCTGCTGTAACAGAAATACCGTAAGCGTGTGGCTATAGCAAACAGAATGTTATTTTCTCAGTGTAGGAGGCTAGAAGTCCAAGTTTGGGGTGCCAGCTCTAGGGAAGGCGTTCTCGGTCAGCTCTGGAGGAAGGTGCTTGTCTCTTATGAGCTTCCACTCCGGGCGGTCTTTATGGGGCTTGCCATGTCTCTTCCCTGTCTCTGTTTCCTAGCTTGCTTATTTAATCTCTCAGAAGAGATTTTTATATCTCAGAAGAGATTGGCTATACTAATTCTACCTCATTAACATAGCAAAGACAATCCATGACCAAATGGGATTATAACCGCAAGCAGAGAGGTTAGGATTCACAATGCATAAGTTTTGGGGACACAATTCAACCTACAACACTGAGTTTGGTCTTTTATATGATTTTACCATTTAGTGTGAACCACTGGTTTAAAACACAGGGCTAAGGCACATAAAAAGCACTCAAGAAGGATCCGTGCTTTGATTTCCCACTTTTAGTACAGCCTGAATCTGTTACAGACTCTGGGATTGAAAGGTACTTTCCCAACGCACAGGGACTAGATACTTAATCTCCCTTCTTCTCCTCATATAAATAGTACAATTTGCTTAAAATGATTTCCATGCTTTCTTTTTCTCAGTTCTCAGAGCAGCTTTAGTTTCTCAAACTCCTTTTCTAAGGACTAAGGTATAGAGTTTTCATTAAAAAGCTAAGAAGGGCAAAGGCTAGAGTAACATAGCAGAGAAGTATTTACACACAAAACCACATATTCTAAATTAATGAATTAGGAGGGTTGCATATGTACTGTTCAACTCTCTAGGGTCTCTGGTAGTGCAGTGGTTAAAGTATGTGGCTGCTAACCAAAAGGTCAGTGGTTCAAACCCACCAGCCACTCCCTGGAGAAAGATGGGGCAGTTTGCTTCCCTAAAGATTTGCAGCTTTGGAAACTCTATGGGGCAATTCTACTCTGTCCTATAGGTTTGCTGTGAGTTAGAAGAGACTCAATTGCTGTCGGGTTTTTTTTGTTGTTGTTGTTCAACTCTCTGGCTTTATAAAGAAAAACATGAAGGAATCCTACAGCCATGAATAAAATCAGAGGGTGATGAAATAAGATCTACAAAGAAAAGTTAAAGTAACCATATCATGCATGTATTCACTCAATGAACAAGTATTAAGTACCTTTTAATGCACCAAACCCACTGCCATCGAGTCAATTCTGACTCAAAACAACCCCCACCAGGTTTCCAAGGCTGTAAATCTTTACCAAAGCAGACTGCCTCATCTTTCTCCCATGCAGCAGCTGGTGGGTTTGAACCGTCGACCTTTTGGTTAACAGCCCAATGCCTTAACCACAGTGTCACCAGGGCTCCTTTTTTAATGTACCAGATGTCCTAATTTTTCAAATGGAAAGGAAAAAAAAAAGGCTGGGATATTATTATATGGTTAAGTATTAATGAAAGTACCTATGGTAGATAGTTCTTAATTCCCATGCTAATTCTGATCAATTAGCAATGGTCATATCAAAACCAAGAATGTCCAATTAAGCAATGCCTGCCATGGATGGAGAAAAGCAGTACATAATAATATGTATTTGTCATTATTGGCTAATATTATTATAATAAACACTAACTTCCCAACAGTCATATATCAGTAGAATCCTGAATTTTAAAGCACCTTTGTAAAAATTTTTACATACATTAACTTATGCTGTGCTCACAAAATACTATAGTTAGGTAGGTTACGCACTAGTTTCACTCTGCTGAAAACTGGAGCACAGAGAAGTATAAGTGACTTGCCCACGGCCACACAGCTAGTTAACGGCAAAAGCTCTACTAAAGACCAGATTCCCTCATTCCTGAATGATCTTCCCTTGATCTTTATAGTTAAGAACTGTTAGAACAGAATGGGATCCAGATGTTCTCTGTATCTACTGAGGAAAAAAGAAGAGGAACTGGTTTAAATGATCATGCAGATTTTTAAGTGACACCTAAGGAAGAATTTTCTGAGCGTGAAAGCTGCTAAACACTGATGCAGGTAACTAAAAAGAATTCTGTCAGGTTTCATTCTCAGAGATCTTTAAAAAAATGTTATAAATTTTTATAAATTATATTTTCTGGGGAGAAAAAGTGTTAATGTGGATGATGAGGCAATCTATTTCCGTAGTGACCTCGGAAACCCAAGGAGGGGTCGCTATGAGTCGGGTCCGACTGACGGCATGTAACAACAACAACAACAACGTGGTACTATAGAAGAAGCTCAGGTTTTAATTAGAGAGGCCTGGGCTCAAATGGAGAGCCCTGGTGGCACAGTGCTTAAGCACTTGGCTGCTAACCAAAAGGTCAGCAGTTCTAACTCCACCAGCCACTCCACAGAAGAAAGATGAAGCAGTCTGTTTCCACAGAGATTTACAGCCTTGGAAACCCTGTGGGGAAGTTCTACTCTGTCCTATAGGGTCACTATGAGTCGGAATCAACTCAACAGCAATGGGTTTGGTTTTTGGTTTGAGTTTAAATGCCTTCTCTCAATTTACCATCTGGGTGATCAGAGGCCAGTCACCTAACTTCTCCGGGCCTGCTCTAAACTGGAGATAATGCCATCAATCACACAGTCATCATAACACAGTAGCATCGTAACACGTTACACTGCCTGGGCACCAAGTGAGTGCCCAATAAACTTCAGTCCTTCCAGTCTCTTTAAATAACATTTTTATGGTTTTTATTCTTAATCTGAGAAGTCTTCAGAACTGAAGTGAGAGGAACAAGTTGCTTAAGATACTTAACAGAGGTTTATATTTTCTTCCTTACTCAAGGCAGGCATCTCTACTAAAATGAAAAATCTTAAGGAGAGGACAAAATCTCACCACCTCCCTAATTCTCCTAAATAGAGAACACATGCTTTGCACAGAACAGGTACTCAGTGAACACCAAGATTAGTTGACAGAGCATCAGAGGGATTTTAAAATAAATAGAGCAATAACAAAAATTATGCAATGGAATCTCTGCCGGACTCATCATGTAAGGTTACTGCTAACATTGCTAATAAAAACAACAGCAGCTAGTACTTATCACACAGGGACAGAGTTCCAATGGACTCTGAAGATGGCTGAGTATCTTTGGGGTTATCTCACTTGATTTCTATCTATAGATGAGGAAACGGGCCTGGAAAGACTAAGTAATTTGTCCCAAATCACAAAGTAAATGGCAGAGCTAAGATTTAGACCTAGGCAGTCTGATTCCACTGCCTACAATGCTATTCACTATGCTGTACTGATCCCTCCAGCCAGTGGAAAAAGAAAAGATTTGGAACAAATATTTCTATTCTGCTTAATACCTAACTATTTTAAATTTCAACGTGAAAAGAATCTTAAAGTAAGAAGCACTGGGCTCTATGCAGGCAGGCAACAAGAGTACCTGCTCAATACAGAAAGAGATACATCAGGAATTTTTCCACAGGCATTCCCTCAGCTACGAAGGATGGGTGAGCTCTGAGGCATAATAAAGGAAGAGTCCTTCAGAATCTGCACGGCCTCAGCACTGCTGGATAGGAAGGACTTATCACAGTGGGGCCTACTCACAAATAAAGGGCTTCTTTACAAAGTCAGTAACAGAGTACCCCCTTAGCCCACAGTCTCATTTTTAACTGCATCACAGAAATGTCCTTTGTGTAGCTGGGCATTTAAAATAAATGCTGCAAGTGGAGCTGCATGTTGATGTCCTACAGAGAAACAGAGGGATGATGATACTCATGCAAAACAGTTGCTGTAGCACCTGGAGAGATACAGGTGATGTTACCCCCATAGGGAAGCATGATCCATCACCCAAAGAGCCACATCTTCTTTTCATAGATACTGCTGTTATTTACCCTCTAGTGATCTTTTGAGATAATCATGGTTATCACAAGAAAATATTTTCCTAAGAGATAATCAATTCATGAAAGGTTAAGGACACAGCACATTCTCCTACAAGTCCAGTTCTGTTACTGCAATCTATACAAAGCACAGGAATCCCCTCTCCTGTTTCTACAGTCCGTAAGAGGCTTGTGAGTGAACGATGCACTGGAAAAATCAAACTGCCTCATTATAATCATCAAGGTTTCAAAACTCAATTGGGTTCATCTCTGAAACTCCAGCACCTGCCATGACACACTCTGTCACTGGTTATCTGGCCAGCGCAGCTCAGAGTCCAGAAGCTGCCTGCTGTCACCAAAGCAGAGCGGACAGAAGTATTAATGGCCTTGTTAGACCAGCAATAAACAAGGAGTTTGAAACTTCAATTCATTTAATGGAAAAATGAAGTTACTTTTTGGTAAGTGGAATTTCAGATTAAATTGCCTTCACAGATTCCACAGATCACGAGCTAAGGCAATGAGACTGTCTAAAGCCTGAAGCTTGATAAAAAGTACTTAAGTGCCAAGCCCAAGTCCCAAGCCTTTACATACAAGTCAATATCCTATAAAAAGAAGAGACAGATTTTAACTTCAACTCCAAACTATGAGGAATGAAAAATCATGCTTGTGGATAAGGGCAGTATTTTCTAAAAACTCTCAGGTTCTGGTAAATAATCAGAAGACACATGAAGCTAGATGTGCTCCAATGGAGCCACACAGGACCGTCTTAAAAGGAAAAACTCCCTCTTAAGATCATCATCACCAGTGCCAGTTGCTGGCTTTTTCGTAGTTTGTCTTCTACCTACGATCTACACTACTTGATAATATCATGGCAATCAAGGCCCAGTGAAACCCTAGCAAATAATAGTTTCTGCCTAGGAGACTACTAGGTCTTCACAGGTCTTTTGCTCCAGAATTGGGAGCTAAAACTAGAAAAGTCTGGATAAGCTAGAAGGCTAAAAGTGTCTCCGGGGAAACAAGAGGAGGAGCATGGATTAGGATGCCCTGGTGTATGGAACAGACAGACAAATCCTGAAATGTCTTCCTCCTGCATACAAGGCATGAAAACAGTTTCAGTCATTTAGAAGGCTTCTGGGAAATAGCTTCATTCAGGGTATTCCCACACCTGCCTCAGGCTGAAAAGGGGCTGGAGTAGGCAGTCACTTGAACTCACCTCGGGCTTGTTGCAGTTTCTTGAGCTCTGCTTCCTGTTCAGTTTTACTTTGCTTACTTCGAACCCCAAGGGCACTGATGACTAACCTTCTGGCGAGGGCTGCAGAAGTCTCAGGACGCTCCTTTGCTGGCTGGAGGAATTCTGAATGGGACAAAGGGAGGCAGTAAGGAAGAAAAAGCACTCTAGCTTCAAGTGATTTAACTCAGTAATTAACATACAAAACAGACTAACAAGGGCTGCCTCAGCAGTAATTAATACAAGCTTGGCTTCATTATCTGCATTAACACAGTTTCTTACAGTGACTCTATCACAGTTCAACATAATTCCATCTAGAACTAGCCCTCATCAAAGACAGAAGGAGGGAGGAAGGCAAACCAGGTAGGAATGCCATCAGCAAGAGGCTGTGGCACTGCTTGCAGCTGGTATCGCCCACCCTCTGACGGGCTGCTCAGATGCCCTATTTTCAACATGGCCTTTTCTCTTCCCCCTCCCTTTTTTTAAAATTATTATTATTATTTTTGGTTTGGTTGAAAACAGACTTCTTTTACTAATAAAACTAAAAGTGATATACCTTTAGAACTCTAGATGCTGTACAACTGCTGTAAAAATAATAACATGGTCATCAACAAGAACAAGCCCAGGGATTACAGACTCACCAGCATAAGCTCTGGCTTTGGCCTTGGCTGCTCTTGTGGCCTGTGACAAGGGCCGGATCTTCACCATACTGTGTTTACTACCCAGAGCATCACGAGCTGCAAAGAGGAATGAACACAAGGAAGTAGCAGACATGAAGTGGAATGGTACAAAGGAGAATTTAAGGCTATCGTTTAAACAAAATAAAACAAAACAAAAAAACCACACTCACTGCCACCGAGTCCATTAGACTCACAGTGACCCCTCCTCAGGTTTCCGAAGTGTTATCACCATGGAAGTAAATTGCCCAACCTTTCTTCCAAGGAATGGCTGGTGGGTCTGAACCACCAGCCTTCTGATTAGCAGTCAAATACCTTAGGCACTATGCCACCAGAGCTCCCCACCAGAGGTCCTTATCTCTTAGAAAGTATTTCCCAAAATTTACAGAGTTTTCTTGTTTATCATCTCAACTAACAAAAGAGATGGTATGTTTTAGAAAATCCAGAAGGGATTAACCGTGATTATTTTAGATCACGGGTCAGTAAACTATGGCTCTCAGACCAAATCCAGCCAGCCACCTGCTTTTATGAATAAAGTTTTACTGAAACAGAGCCACATCCATTGGTTTGCATATTGTCTATAGGTGCTTTCTTGCTACAAGGGCAGAAGTAGTTGTGACACAGACTTTATGGCCCACAAAGCCTAAAATACTATCTGGCCTTTTACAGAAAAAGTTTGCACACTTCTAGATGGTTCAGGTAGGAAGCAACATCTCTAATTACTCTGAATATTTCCGCATCAGATCTGTCATGAGGCCACTGATACATATGAAAAGGCCCAATCACATATTCAGAGAGTAGTTATTATAATCTCTTATTGGACAGGTTAAAGGGCTACTTCAAATTCTTCTGTCTGGTGGGGAGGGGTGGAAATCACAAATATTCTAAGATTTAGCCCCACTGGCTTCTTAAACTTCTCCTTTTAATGTCTTTATGCAGTATAACAACTAACAATTGTGAGTGCAAATACCCTTGAAAGAGCTGACGATCCTTCCAAATACCACTGGATTCAGGTAAAAAGGGAGGGGTGCAACATATGGGTATGAAAGCACTATGCCTCAAAAAACTGCATCTCCCAGTTAGCTACACTGGCTGACTAAAATGCCAAATGTCAGGAAAAGGAAGGAAATAAGGACAAGTAGCAGGAAACAATGGATAATAAGGAAGGAACACTGAACTCCACTGGGTGGATACCTGTAATTGGACTGGAGAAGACTCCTAGGGCATGCTTATCATCCACCCATTTAATATCAAATCCTTTCTTTCTGCAAGAAAAGAAAACAATCTTATTTCTTCAGATAAAATTTACTTATATGAAACATATTCCAAATGGAACTCATAAAGCATTTCACGATGAGACAGAAACACTCAGAGCACACAGGTGGAATGGGGACAATGGCACAAAACAGCAGCTTGGAGGGCAGAAGAAGCCACTGAATATAAAAGCAATGATAACGCCATAAAGAACTACTACCCGGGAGTATTTTATGCTCCCAGCTATTTTATAGACATCAACTAATTAATCCTCACAAGTCCCTTGGGGAGGTAAAGTATTTAATGCACTATTTATAAGAGCTGTTCTTATGGGTAGGGAACAAGAAAAGGTGGAAAGAGGAAGCAGAGGAATAGCAGAGGAGGGGCAGGCAGGGAAGGTCACTTAGATTTAACACAAATGCAGGCTCAAGGACAGAGAGCTCATATAGCAAGATATAATTAAACTCAAAAAGAAAAAAATAAATCAAGTAATGGAGGAAAAAGACAACTATAACCAGAGAGGCTGACCTATTTGAAAATAGTAAAGGACTGTGGCAAAAGTCAGAAAACTTCAGGACAAAAGTAATCAGGATAGGATAAACATCAGGTAGGTATATCTAGTAAGTAAATAGTGCTCATTATTCTCATCAATAACAGTATTCATTAGGATGGTTATTAGTGCTGATGAAATGGTGATTAAAACAAGAAGGTGACAAACATTTCCTATTTTAGGCTTTTGCATTGTGACTTTTTTTTTTTTAAAAAAAAAATCACTATAAAGAAAAAAAAAGACAGCTTCTGAAATATTTTCCCTGTTCAACCACCAGTCAAGAAAAAAAATTCCTTTGAAGGAGAAATGAATAAAGAAGGCATTGAAGGTTGGTTAGAACACTTCCTGAATGGAAGGGTAAGCTGACCGGTGTAAAATGATTACAGGAACTGGGACCTTGAGAAAGTTCAATGATAGACATCCACATGATAAGACAGTTTACAAAAAGGATGGAAAAAGACCTAGATGGGCTCTAGAAAGCCTCTTAGGCTTTGGAATTTTATAATTCGTTAAAATGCTTGTCTTTTGGTAGTGAGAGAAAAAATAGTCTTACAGGTAATAAGATAAGAAGAAACAAAGCCAAGTATATAACTTAATAGAATTAACACATCTTCAGGAAATTCTGGACAGAAATAAAATTGATCATTGGTTTTAAAAATTATCATTATTAATTTAATTAAAATAAGAAAACCCAAAACCAAACTCTCTGCCATCAAGTTGATTCCAACTCATAGCAAAACCCACTGAGCTTCCAAGGCAGTAAATCTTTATGGAAGTAGACTGCCTCCATCTTCCTTCCTCCAAGCAGCTGGTAGGTTTGAACTGCCAACCTTCTGGTTAGCAGAATTAGCAGTCAAATGCCTTAGGCACTGCACCATCAGAGCTCCTTAATGACTATCTAAGGCAGTTTTAATTTGGGATTTAATTCCATTGACTGCTTTTTAAAATATATTATGAATTTTATTTGCAACAGGCCCTGATACTGGATCTTAACATAATTTTAACGGGTTAGAGACTGACCAAAATGCACTGTGTATTTAGAGTAAGGTCTATGGTAGAGATCAACAGTCTTACAGGATTCATTCACTTCTTTTTAGTTATAGAAGCAATGGCCCACCCAACAAGTTTAATGTAACAGATAGCTGCTAAATAGTTTTACCTGTTCTGGAAATTTGTATAAAAATAGGCTGCCTGTTTAATTGGAATACAGCTGTGCCCATTTGTTTACATATTTTTTATGATGATTTTGTGCAACAATAGCAGAGTTGTCTAAAATATTTACTATCTAGTCCTTTAAGAAAAGGTAAAAGAGTCTATACCTAATGGATACAGAATCTTACAAATTCAAGATGTTATATAAACTGAACCTTCAATTTAAATTTTTAGTATTAGACAATGAACAAAAAAAACCAAACTCATGCCGTTATAGCGACCCGTCCTTGGGTTTCCGAGGCAGTATCACCATGGAAGTAGAATGCCCAATCTTCCTTCCGAGACAACAAACCTTTTTAATTTTTAATATCAGGATTGAAGTATAATCCCTCCTGATACTGACTTTCCTCCAGACCCTCAAAATGTTTTCTCTTAATAACTTAAAAAAAAAAAAAACACCACCAAACTCACTACCATCAAGTTGATTCTGACTCATAGCGACCCCTTTGGGTTTCTGAGGTAGTACATCTTTACGAATTAGATTGCCTGGTCTTCCTTCTGCAGAGTGGCGGGTGGGTTTGAACCACCAGCCTTCTGGTTAGCAGCAAAATGTCTTTCTCAAGGCTCCTTTCTTAATAACTTTACTTCTGAATCATCTCTTTATTCCTGAAGCTAATGCTTTCTTAGAAGCTCAAGTTAAAGTGGTATACTTCTGACTTACACCTTCTCTTCCAGAGTAAACAGATTAATCTTGTACAGTTGACTTAACTTACCAACTCACTAGATAAACGAGCACTCTCCAGTTTCTCTGTAAAACATACCCATATTCACGACACACCATACAACTCGCAGCTAGTAAGCTACTCTCTAATACAACTGTTGCTCCCATAAGGTGAACTATACACATACCAAGAGTTTGTGCAGTTATTCTTAAACCCACTTATAGCTCTGGTAGCATAGTGCCTAAGGCACTTGACTGCTAACCAGAAGACTGGTGGTTCAAACCCATCAGCCACTCCTCAGAAGGAAGATGGGGCAATCTACTTCCGTAGTGATACTGCCTCAGAAACCCAAGGAGGGGTTGCTATGAGTCGGGTCCGACTCAATGGCACATAACAACAACAACAACAACAACATATTAGTCTTACTTAATATATTATTACATGATTTAATTAAATAAAATCAAATCAATGAAATATGAATGTTAAAAAGAAGAGTTGAGTCTATTTAAATTTAGTTGAATTTTTTTTAAAGATAAGTCACTAAAAAAAAAAAAAAAAACTATTATCAATTATGTTTGGGCAAGACAGCTGTAAAAGATAAAGAAAACACTGTAATCTAACAGAATATGCACTCAGATGATTCTGATGGAAAAAGGAAGAAGTAAGGGATATATAAGGGTGACCTACAAGAACTCCTATCGACAGACCACAAACTTTTAAAAGAGGCCTTGACACCATTAGCAAAGTGAAACGTCTATTTTTATGGAAAGTGAACATCTATTTTTATGTCTTTGATTAAAATAAAATATTAGAGATATGTATCAATTATTATTTTATAATTGCCTATTTGACCATTTCTATCAATCAACTAATTATCAATGGCCCCAATCTCATCTGATAAGAAGCTCTATTCTGGAGTCAGCTCTAAGATAAAAATAGCACACACTCTACAAGTCACTAAAATTTTTTTCAATGTGAGCTGATACAGAGTCAAGTAAAGGGTCAATTACAAGACAGACAGAATTGTTAACCTGAAATACAGGCCTTGAATGAGCTTCAGAAGGTTTATTCATGGACACCTTAAAATTACAGGTGCATTTTTGTGTGTATTCACACTATTACGAGGGGAGAACTATTTTCCATGTATCTTTAACCTACCCCTCTTAATCACACAAAAGTTTAAGAATCAGCAGGTTAGACTCGAAACAATCAAGCAAGATAGTGATCCAATTACCCAGAGCAGCCTGTGAAAAGAAAGGTAAACAAAAGAATAGAGCTCTGAATAGGTGGGTGAGGGTGGGAAGATATAGCTCATATTCATCCATTTCATTAAAGATTCAGACACAGATCTTGCTCTCAACAAGTATGCAGCAACAGGTTTTATAAAACATATATAAAGAATTACGAAACCAGGTAGAAAGCAAAAATTCCCACAAGAAAGGTCAAAATAAAGTGGTATTAGAGCTCAGTGAAGGTGGGATCAGGGTAAAGTTTCCTGAAAAATATTGTTTTGGGTTCGGCTTTGAAGAAGTAAGATGTTTTTATGAGAAAGTAGTATGGTGAGATGAGCAGCAACAAGAGGGAAGACATGACCAAAGGCGAGCAGAGAGAAAGAAAGGGCCATGCACAAAGAACAGGGAAGTAGTAAATAGTAAAGCAGAAATTCTGAATAGGCTAAGGAGTGGAGAGCATTCCAGACGCAGAGTTCTAGAGCAGGAATGGGCCATGATTAGAGGTCTGCTTCAGGAATATTAAACTGAGAGCAATATATAATATGCTCTGGAAGTAGGGAGCTCAGAAACAAGTCTAAGTGAGGTAGTAATGAATGCCTGCATTACTGCAGGAGAAGCAAGGAGAAGAAGGGGCAAATATAAAAGACCTTTTAGAAACAAAAACAACAGGAACTACGTAGATAGAGAAAGGGAAAGCAAAGAGTGAAAAACAGTGCTCGGTTTCAAATTAGAAGGAGTAAAAAGATGATGATGGAAGATAATCACAACACAGGGTATATAAGTGCAAGGGCAAGTTGAGTGAGATTAGAGTATGAGTTCAGTTTTTGACATTTCTGGAAATATGGTGGGTTGAGTCCCAAGATCAATATTTATGCTGAAAACAACTAATAAACCACACAATAAAGTGAAATTTTAAAATTCAATAGACAGATTTAACAGCAAAATAGACACAGCTTAAAAAAATTAATAAACTGGAAGCAACCGCTGATTATTTAGAATGTCACACTGAGAGGCAAAGATGGAAAACATGAAAGAGAGGTAACAGATGAGGAGGATAAAGTGAGAAGGTCTAATATATATCTAATTGGCATCTTAGAGGAGATGAGAGAGAGAGAGAGAGAGATTGGGACAGACACAATACTTGAAGAGATAAGTAAGTAAATGCTAAAGAATATGCCCTGTGTAAGAGGAAAAAGATTTCAGATGGAAGGTATGAAAGGAATAAATGAATAAATGAAGAGCAAAGAAAGTGGTAAATCTGAACACTGTATATATAACACAACAGTAATACCATGAAATTGAGTTTAAAAGGAAAGAAAACTAACAATCAAAATTCAAAATACTCAATAGCAAATAAATCAGAGGAGGACAAGGTGGGGAATGGAATTAAAAGTCCTTATAGTGTTTGGGGAAAAAAAACCAAACTCACTGCCATCGAGTCAATTCCAACTCACAGAGAGCAGAGCCCCCCATTGGGTTTCCAAGGCTGTAAATCTTTATGAAAGCAGACTACCTCACTGTTCTTCCACAGAGCAGCTGGTAGGTTTGAACCACCAACCTCTGGTCAGCAGCCAAATACCTTAATCACTACACCACCAGAACTCCTTATAGTGTTAGGAAGGAGGATAAAAATATTAACTTTAGTCATTAATAAATTATGCATGCATTTTGTAATTTCTAAAGTATCTACCAAAGAATATAAAGAGTATAATTTCAAAAAAAAAAAATGAGAAATAAGTAATCAATTCAAAAGCCAAATATATCAATAATTACAATAAATATAAATGTACTAAATGCCCCATGTGGGAGCTCTGGTAGCATAGTGCCTAAGGCACTTGACTACTAACCAGAAGGCTGGCGGTTCAAACCCACCAGCCACTCCTCGGAAGGAAGATGGGACAATTACTTCCATAGTGATACTGCCTCAGAAACCCAAGGTAGGGTCGCTATGAGTTGGGGTCCAACTCGATAGCACATAACAACAACAAATGCCCCATGAAGGAGTCATCACCGATGTTCTTTTTAAATGCTAAAATGGGGCCAAGAAGACTATTTGGCATTTTTAAGGAAGTTAGAGTGGCTTGATAGGAAGAGTTCAACTGGACTTGGAGCAGACGATAAACAAACCTGATGCCAAAGTAAACAATAGGGAATGTGAAAACAAAACATAAAAAAAAAAAACCAGACGGGCTTTTAGAAGATTCTCTAAGAAAATTTCATCCCACCTTCCCTAACTTCCCCCAACCACTTGTAAATACTTACTGATAACTACAGAAAATCCGTAGAAGGTCTTCAGTACGAAATTCTTGCGGGAAGTCATAAATTTCAATGACATGTGGGAATTCACAATCACTGAGGTCAATATCAGGAACTTCATGGCTATAATAATCAAATCTAGATTCCTGGATGCTTTCTCTGCTCTTCAAATTCCCCGGTAACTAGGGAGGAAGAAGCATGTAAGTGACTATGACATCAAACCATGGTCTTATAAAATTCCTCCCATATGACCAATCCTTCTGTGTCTGTCCCCTTGATCCTCCTATTCCTTAACTTTTAGCATTGTCTCTGCATTAAAGTTGCCTGTGAATACAATGGTGACCAGGGTTTTTATCACCTAATTTATAGTATATGTACAGGGAACACTTAAAAAGGCATGAAAATTCCAGCAAAAATAGGTACTTCATAAAACTTAACATGCTATTAACTACTGTGACAGAAAATGTAGACTGCTTAATGTAGTGAGCTACAAATGACCAATCTTGGAAAATGAAACTCAGATAACTGAAGATAAATTAGTATTTGTTTCATTTGTACTTACTGATCAGGATCATCTCAGTTTCTTTTCTGAAGAATAAAAACAAAATTTTGTAAAAATTAAAAAACTTTGTTAATCCTCCTTTTGTGGAATGTATTAAAGGCTGAAGAAAGAGCTTAAAAAGGACAATATACGTGTTACAAGCAGTTATACCTGAGGTCCCCAGCATGAGAGCTACCTAAAAGAATTACCAAATAGTAGGCAAATGAAGGAACTAATAGTAATAAAAAATACTTAAAATTCTGCTAAAAAAAAACCCTGAAGGATATTAGTCATTTCATACTAGAAGAGGAAAGAAAAGTGGAAAACAGGAGCAAAGCCATGACAGGCACTGCCTTATTTCTGTCATTTACTTATTACAAAAGATGCCACCAATTACCAACCAAAGCCTCCAGACCCCGAGAGTATCCTCTCTCTGTTAATCAAAAGTCCTAGTAGGATCTGTTCAAGCTCTCCCTATTGTGCCTTTTTTTTTTTCTCCTATCAAATGAGGAAAATGAGAATTTGTATTGCTAAAGATATACCTCCTCTCCTTGGAGAAGCTAAAATTGGATTCAAGTTGTTTTAGGGGGCAGAGAGATGAAGAGGGAAGGTGATTTAGGTAATATCAATAAAAATGTTTATTTACAGCTGGGCCTTCAATTCCTTTTCTCCACTAAGCCTCAGTTTCACCACCAGGGACTCCTATGCAACCATCACCACTCTAATTCCAAAACTTTTTCATCTCCCTAAAAAACAGAAAGAGTACCTACACCTCATAGAGAAGTGTGAGGGTTACATGAGATGATACAGTCATCACTTAGAATATGGCTTTGGACAGTATGCATTCAATTAATTCAACCCATTCTTAACAAATTTAACTGAGTGCTAACCTACTACATGCAACACATGATGTTAGATCCACTTTTGATTACAATGCAGAAAGAAGCAAAAGAATGTTCTCTCACATAACAATGACAAAGGTCAGCAAATTTATAAAACCATAATTTTTCTTGAGTTCACCAGAGAACTGAGGACGTAAGACAATCAAGGGAATTTAAATTCAAAGAATGACAAGTCTCTCCAAAAAGAGACAGACTACATAAACTGCTGCATCTGTGATGGACAACGGGAAGAAGTGGCCACCATATACATTGCTGTTGTCGTTATGTGCCATCAAGTCGGACCTGACTCATAGTGACCCCTCCTTGGGTTTCCAAGGTGGGGTCACTATGAAGTAGATTGCCCAATCTTCTTTCAGTGGGTAAGATATCAGGTAAACTTTTAACAAATTCTTAAAAGCCTGGAGTGAGCTACTATGTAAGATTAGAAAAACTGGGAGCCCCAAAGACGAGTGGAATCTGTGATCACTTCCAAGTTCTTTTCCTTGAGCTGCCAATTAATTTCACAGGACAGACTGGAGGCAAGACAGGTGACCAGAGAGGGCCTGGCTGGGTGGCACGCAATGGTAACTGCAAGCTGAGAATAAAGCAGGAACACTGAGAAAATATGCTCTGGCACAAGGTAAGAGAAGCACCAACAAATCCCAAAGACAGCTCAACTCCTGCCCAAAGCGACAAGATTTACTCTGGGGGAGGGTGTTGTTGTTATGTGCCGTCAAGTCTCAAGTCAGAGCCAACTCCTAGTGACCCTTGGGTTTCTGAGGCAGTATCACTATGGAAGTAGACTGCCCGACCTTCCTTCTGAGAAGTGGCTAGTGGATTTGAACTGCCAGCCTTCTGTTAGCAGTCAAGTGCCTTAGGCACTATGCCACCAGAGCTCCTCTGGGGGAGGGAGGAGCTGTTAATTAATGACTTGTCAGAAACATCAGTGAGCTCATTACCATTTACCTCAGATTCCACTGTTCATCTACCCATGATGTCTAGTATTCAATAAAAAATCATCAAACACACAAAAGAGCAAGAATAAACAACCCAGTATCATAGATAAGCAATCACAGAACCAGATTTAAGATGACCCACATGTTGGAATGATCCGAATAGGACTTTAAAATAACCATAATTAATGTATTAAAAAATATACAAGAAGGTGAAAAACATGCATGCGTAGCTGGGTATATGAGCAGGAAAATGAAAAAAGAACCAGTTAGAAATGCTAGGAATAAAAAAATAAAAATAAAATCCACAATATCAGAGATAAAGAATTCTTCTGATAAGATCATTAGCATATTCCTTTTGATACACTACATTAGTACATACAGCTGAGAATGGATCCCTAAACTTGAAGATAAAACGAAAAAAGAAAACAAACCCACTGCCAATGACTCGATTCCCACTCACAGGGACCCCCATACGGTTTCCAAGGTTGTAAATCTTTGCATAAGCAGACTGCGTCATCTTTCTCCCATTGGGTGGCTAGTTGGTTTGAACCACTGACCTTTTGGTCAGCAACCCAACGCCCTAACCACTGCCACCAGAGCTCCTGAACTTGAAGATAGGTCAAAAGAAATTACCTAAAACTAAAATACAGATGTTGTTGTTGTTACGTGCCGTCGAGTCGGACCCGACTCATAGTGACCCCTCCTTGGGTTTCCGAGGCAGTATCACTACGGAAGTAGATTGCCCCATCTT